CGTGTATCTTTTTATGTCAAACGGGAATTCGGGATTTCCCATTTTTGTCCCGTCCTCTCCCGTTCCTAATCGGGATTTGAAAACTTGTCTCATATGGGGATACGAGAAATATATGGTACGAGAATTCGGGAACAGATACGGTACAGAATAAAACGGGATGGAACGAGGCGAGAATTATGTCCACCCGTAACTATATTGGGCCCTATGGCAAATTTTTTTTTCCATATTTGTAGGGGTTATTTTTTAGATTTATAGAACTTTCAAAAATTTAGGATCATTTTGCAAAAACAAATTAATCAAAATCGTGAAATCCATTGTAGGGTCCAGTGCAATTGCACTTCTTGCACTCCCCTAAAACCTGGCCTGCTTAGATATGTTATATGTTCAAGTATTATGGTTGTGATATGTGAGACGGTCACTTTTTCATGTATTAAGTGTTTCCAAGTTTTTTTTTTTTTAAATGTGTCTCTAAGTTCAAAACTAAAATCACGGAAATGTACTACATATTTACTGGCTGTTGTAATCATCCGTATTCGCATGTTGACAGGCCGGTAATCTCTCCGTCAACCGGATTGAAAGTTTATGGTGTTTCCGGGAGCAGGGCAAGATATGCAAGTTGGGTTTCAATATAGAGAAGATTTTTTTATTTGTTCTTTGGTTCGGTTCAGACGTGTTTTTATCCCATTTTGATTATGTAAACCACATTCGGGTCGATTTTAATATAATAATGATAATAAAAAAGTTTATCAACTATTTAGGGATATCTTTTGACAAAATGTTATTTAGTGTGGTAAAAATAACTATTTAGGAATTTCAATGATTTTTCAGATTTTGTATTTGTAGTGATCCACATTTGGTTTTTGTTTGCTTTAGATAACATATCTAGGATCAGCCTTGGGTACGAAATACATCCATGTTATTATAATTTGATTACCAAATAAATTAAAATTCATAATCATATTAAATTGAGCCATTTATAATCTCAATATAGTCGAGAATCATATCTACCCCTGAGAATGATATGATAGCATGCACTATATCTACATCAAATATTCAAATCCTAACTCAGTTCTGATATATAAGAGCAACACTAATTAATCATTGCTTCCAAACTTACGTAACTAATATAAAAATATTATGATATTGTTGTGAAATATATACAAACTATACTAATGGTTCTAATATAATGGAGGTATATATATATGGTGTTTTGCTTATCTTCTATATATATAAACTTGATACAATATATACTAAAAGTGTTTCTTGATCAACAAGAAAGTAAATGGGAAAAGTTTATAACTGAGTTGTGAAATGATTGTTTTTTATTCATGTGTTCATATCTCTTCTTTGCTTCTTCTTCACACACATATATATAGGAGAGGAAGAGTACAAGAACAAAAGGCACTTGTACATGGGATTGATTGGTGGGATACTTAAGACACTTGGACATAACTAAAATTAGATTAGTGTCAAGTTTGTGTCAAGCTAATTTGTTTACTAAGTAATTAAGCTTAGTGTGTTATAGTGATGAATAATCACCAAATTATAACAGATATTAATTAATTGAATTAATAGAACCAGAGGTTCTCTTTGTGTGTCTTTCTCATGACACGAAGGTCCCATCTTCAATAATAATTATTCTCAATAG